CTTATGAGGACAGGCTGAGAGAGTTGGGCTTGTTCAGCCTGGAGAAGAGAAGGCTGCGGGGAGACCTGATTGCAGCCTTTCAGTACTTAAAGGGGGCCTATAGGAAAGATGGGGACAATCTTTTTAGCAGGGCTGGTTGTGACAGGACAAGGGGTAATGGTTTTAAACTAAACCAGGGTAGGTTTAGACTAGATATAAGGAAGAAATTCTTTACACTGAGGGTGGTGAAACACTGGAACAGGTTGCCCAGAGAGGTGGTGGAGGCCCCATCCCTGGAAACATTCAAGGCCAGGTTGGACGGGGCTCTGAGCAACCTGATCTGGTTAAGGGTGTCCCTGCTCACTGCAGGGGGGGCTGGGCTAGATGGCTTCTAAAGGTCAAAGCCAAAACATTCTATGATTCTAAAATAGGTGTATTTAGTGACCACTGCCTGCTTCCAGCTCCTGGAACAGGCACAAACAGATCCTGTTTTCCAACATCCTAGTTGCTGTTCAAAGTTCCTTGCCATTTTTTTTTCCCCTATATACATATTTATATAAAGTTATAAATTCAATATTCTACAAGCCCTTATTTATCAATCAGAACCCAGTCTGTGCCATACAGCTTCATATTGCAGGACTTCAGGTTACCCGGGTGCTGTCTGCCCCGTTTCCTAACTGACCGGGTCCCTCACTACCTGCTTTCCTAGTGAAGCCAGTACTGGGGAAATCTTGCAGGAGCAGAGCAGCACTACTGGGAAATTTTACATAACTGTAATTTTTTTTTTTTTTGTCCTCTCCTTCCTTTTTTTTTTTTGGCACTAACCAGACCTTCCCTAAAACACCATTCTTAGAAAAATGTAACCACAGCAAGATTTACTGTCTGAGCATTGTGTTTAATATTTTTCCCATTCATAAAATACTTGTATGTCTGGACATGAGACTTAGTTTGAAGGGCGTGTTTTGATTCTCGTCTGGCTCATTTAAACCACTTCTATGCTAGTGCTCAAGCAGAGAAGGGGCAAGAATGATGTTCCAGCTCTTCTAACATATTCTAAATTCCCAGATGTAAAATTCAATTGCAGGAGTGCTGGTGAAAAACAAGCGCTAAGAGGGGGCACAAAGACCAGCAAAGTAAATTTATTTTTTTAATTGGGAGCAAAGCGAACTCAGTCCTCAGAAAATGCCGTATAAGGAGTTTGTATTAGGCGCTTGTTCGTGGAGTACCTTGATCTCAGCTAGATGAGATGCAGTTGACATTTGGCTGACAAAGCTCTTGGGGAGGCTGGAGGATGGTAAGAAATAAAGCATTTGGTGCAATTAGCTGCAGCACCCACCCAGGAATGAAAGTAAACAGGCACAACACCGGGATGAGAGGCTCTTCCAGAATCAAGGTCTCAACTGCTTGAGGATGTAGCAGTTCCCCACTCTTTGTACATTCTTTGGCAGTTCCCTATTTACTTGGTTTGTCTGCTTCTAGATCCTGGAGAACTGCAACTGGATTTGGCTGCTCCTTGCCTCCCCCTCCCCATCCCCATAGGTGCTGCGATGCTGCAGCGCACGGCACCGGCACCCAGCCACCGCAGCCCCTGCCTGCCGAGGCCCACCAGCTGCAAAGGGCCGCAGGATTAAAAATTAAACTGATACGCATTTAAGAGATCTGGATGGGCAGACTCCATCTAAATTTTTGAAGAGACTAAAAATGGCTGCAGGTGTATCAGTTGCTTCTACATCCCTGAGCTTCACTGAGTATTACACTGGGCAGAGAAAGGGCCCCTGTTTGGGAACAATTTGTGCTACTCGATGAGGTGACCATCTACTCGTTTGTCTTCAACAGTTACTCTCATGGGGAAAGCAGTATCTTTTCTTCTAATTTTACTCATGGATATCTTGCAGAGTTTCCATATTCTTACCTTCCTAAAGCAAAAATAGCAAAATTTCAGGTTTGTTTGCTGTTTTGCTGTAGCAATAATCACAGAAGTAAGCAACAACTGCCACATCAGAAGCTAAATGCTGCATCTGAGCTTGTGTGATAACCTTCGTGTCTTCCAGCCAGCTCCTCATTTGCTGAGGAGAAGTAGTTTCCCTGGAGAGTAACTGGGCCAAAGTAGAACCCTCTAAAACCAACTTAAAGCCACTGAAGTTTCCCCTTTCAAATAGGAGAATCCACATATTACCTGCATGCAAGTTTTCATTTTGAGCTCATGAACAACGTTAGGTTAATGAAGAAATCATCTCCCTTTCTATGGGGCTTCCCTCTGGCTACCAGCCCTCCCGCATTGCTGGCCACACTGTCTGTATTGGCACCCATTGGAAGCGAGCGGTGTGGGGGGGTGGACGGCCAAGGACTTGGTGGCACATCTGAAACAGCAGGTAACTGCTCCAAAATGCTTTAAATCAGAGAGGAGCACGGTACCATGAAGGAAGGAAAAATACCACCCATAACATAAATGAAGCAGAAGGATGCTCTGCTGGGGTACAGTCTGTTGGGAAAGGCCTGGATTTACCACAGACAGGGAAAAAAACCCGAACCAACAGCCTGGTGAGTGCAGGGGTGCCTGTGAAGCCCAGGGACGATGCCAAACCATTACAGCTGGCTGTGGTGCCGTCTGACAGAAGAACACGGTGAGGGATTGCCGTCTATTGCTTAAGGGAATAAACGCTCAGGTGTAAAGATCAGGGGCATCTTGACTCCTTAGAGCCTGAGAAATTATGCTCTATACACCCAAGAAAAGGGTTGTAATTCTAATCTTAGGCAGCCTAAAATTCATGAAGGTTCAAGAGATCTCTTCTATCTACGCATCTAAATAATCGGCCTTGAGTTAGCTGCAGTAAAGATGATTATTTTTTTCTACTGCAGCTTCCTCCCTCTCCCCTTCGTATTTCATGGCAGAGTGCTGTAGAACATTTCTGCAGCTTCGAATTTATGATGAATTGTTCTTAAATTATAAAAAAAAAAGTCTCCAAATCATCGGCTCCTTACCTACCTGTAGACACATTTTGTCTACCGTGATCATAGTGCTTTTTATTAACCTCGTCACCAAAGCACAATTTCTCCTGAAATAATTTCATGTCCCTAAATGTTACGGCATCCTTTGTTTTGCAAAGTGGAGGATTTTCTAAAAAGCCTTCGCCCTTCCTTCTAACAAGAACAGGATGTGCAATAACTTTGGTTTATATAAGCCTTCCTGGAAAGCACGAGAGAAACTCTGGAATCAATAAAAGCTGCCGCGTAATGGCATGAAGAAGTAAACTTTTTGTGAAGGTACGTTGTGCTACAGCGATACATTAAAAAGATGAAACTTCAAGCTCGGCTTTACAGTAACTGTACAAAACACAATAAATTACTGGGATTGTTCCCTTATGTCGCTTTTGTTAACTGAGTACGTTCAGTAGAATACCATGTATTATTTCACTAAGCACTGATTTATTGCCTACAGGAATTAAAGAAACTGATGTCCAAAGTTGAAGAGCTGTACCTATTACCTGAAAAATGAAAATAACAAGCCTTACTTGACCTACGATCTCACAGTATTCAGGGCAGAAGAGATGCATTTAGGGCACAAGCGAGATGAAGTGGGGCAAGCTCCTTTAGGTTCACTTGAGGTGCAACAGCTCCCGTCACCACACGCCACCAACACTTATTTATTCAGCTGATAACGGCGAGCCAGGCAAAGCTGCGCCGAAGTGTATTTGCACAGCAGCTTTACAATTGACTCGATCGTCAGACTGCAGTAATAAACCATAGGACTTAAGAGGAGAGTGAGAAGAACCAGAGTGAAAGTACCAAATCGCTTCTCTTTGCACCCTCCGTTACGCTCACTGAACCTAAACGGACATATGCAGCGTTTTAAAAACTGGGGGTAACACTAGAACAAATGTTTTCACTGCTCCTCCACTAAGCACGAGGTGAAACAGGAATCGGGAGAACCACCTGTGCTGCAATGCAACATTTCAAAGATACAGACCGTAGCTATACGCCTCGCTGTCATCCTTGTGCTGGCAGCCCCCGTGGGTATTGGCCCTGGCTCCGTGCGGGTACCACGCAAAGAGGCCGTTGCTATTTCCTGCATCTCTGAGCAACCTGATCTCATCTTTGGTGCCTTCGAACGCACCTTTGGTGCCTTCGAACGCACCTTTGGTTACTAAATAACCGCAACAGCTTGTTTTGGTGGAATCTGTGAGTTCACCCTTGGCTTTACTCTAAACTTAGAGCAGAATTTGAGACTGAGATTCCTAAGAAACCAGGGAGGAGAGAAAACTTATTCCAACTCTGTTGTCATTGCAAAAATTACACCCAATTCCTCATGCCACAGAGCACCGAGAGCCGATCACTTTGCACAGCTCCTCGTTGAGTCAGAACACGGCAGCGGGCAGTATGAGCTGTGAATCACAATCCGGCGGCAGTGCAGAGCTCACGCAGTCATCCTGCAGCTGAACTCTTCCAGATCAACCCATGCGCTAATGCACCTCGTTGGGATTTACTTCATTAAATCAGGAGTGAAACCTTGTGCCAGTGAACCACCCGCTCCCTTGTAAAGCCGAGCGCGCTCCTTGTCCGTGTTGCATAATTAGTAATGCACACACAGAGACTCGAGTATTCTTCAGGACAAAGGCAGAATAATAATGGTTATAGATATAGATGGCTGTATATAATATATAATTTAAAATTTTATTTTAAAACTTTGCGCATACACTTCTTCAGCATCCTCCTCTTTTGTTCATTGCACTGAAAAGTTTCAAAAAACACAAAATATATCCCTTTACTAAACATTTTTTGTTCTTAGGTTACAAAAAGATTAACATTTCACAGTCACAAAGCAGAAGTACATTGGTCCAAAACATCTTCCTCCAGCAGGTCCTCCATTCTTCAGGACATGTAAAACCTAGACAAGTTGTACAGATCTCAAAACAAGATGACTTGTCCAATGAAGGAAAGAAAAAGGTAGCAGCTATTAAAAGAAAAAAAAAAAAATCCCAAACCAAAATAAGATAGCTATGAAAGGAAACTACCTGCAATGGTTAAAAAAAAACAAAGAAAGAAAGAAAAAAGCACGAGAGCGGAGGTGGACAAGGGCATCCTCCTTCAAGTACATCACAGGTAGGAATACAGCAGCACAGTTACAGCATCATTTGGTCACTCTCTCTATGGTAGCCACATCACTATATCTGCATCTAAGACATGTGGAGGAAAACTATTTACACACCGAAAATGTCAGGGAGGAACAACAATTCCACGCAGTTTGCAATTCATGTTTAATACAAAAATGTTGAAAGTATTTGTACATAAAAAGTAAAATAAAAGCAAAAGACGGAGGCAGGAAGAAACACAGCAGATTTGCTCGGAGTGTGTAGTGTTCTTTAAAAACCTAGCAAAAGTTCAAAGCCAAAATCTGCCCCAACATCAAGTGAAGTTCTTCAAAAATACCCTGGGGGCACAGAGTCAACTGTGCCCCCCAGACCTCTTGTCATATTTTAACACGGAAGCAACTTTAACATGGAAATCCACTGCTAACAGCAGACTGACCACTTTTCCTTTAGCTTGTTAGCCCTGCTGGTTTTTAGAATTTTACGAAAATAAATAAAAATCTCTCTCCAGCATGAGGCCACCGAACACCAGCCCTCTCGGACAACACGCTTCCGTGCTCATGAAGGAAGCATCATTGCATCAATGTACCAAAAGACAGTTGTGTGCCTCACTTAAGGTGTAAACAAAACTCCTACCTACCTTCTTCATCACATTAAACAAAGATTTCAAGCTGTAGTGCAAGAGAAAAATACCCCAAACGGCTGTACTACCTTCTGCAAGAGTATTCACAGGAGAATGGCAGAAGCTTCTTGGTTTGAATTCCTAGAAACTGGACTGGACGAGGCACCAGAAGACAGCGTTACATTGCGCTGTCGGCCAACCTGAACTGCACGGCATACGGTTTCTTTCCCTTGGCTTTGTCCAAAGAAGGACAAGACCCTGCCTGACTCTCTAAGTAGCGTCTACGTACAGGCAAGGACACAGCACCGTGCAAGAGCAACACGAATGCTGATGTAACTCAGGACAGAGGTTCCTTGCTACTGAGGCTTAAACAATTTTGGATGCTAAGGGAAATTTGCTGGCAAATAAAAAACCCCATAGCGCTGCCGGCATCAGGCAGTAACTAAGATGACGCGCCAAGGATCTAAAATTTGGAGTTGGTGCCTAACTTGCTCCAGTCGGAGGCGGCGAGCTGTCTGCTCCTAACGCAGAAGCTTCACTGAGCCCTAGAGCGGCCACAAGGCTGAACATGGCGATATCCAGCCCGTGCCTGCCTGAAAAACGGTATCGTGCACCATGGATCCTCCCTGCCACCAGTGGCTTCTAATGTTGCGACTACTCCCAAAATAATTCAACCTATAAAGAGAATTGGAAGCGCTTTTAATTATTCTTGCTTGTCGCACACCACCTCCCCAATAAACGACTCCCGCCTCCCATTTATATGAGGCTTTGGTGTGTACCTGTATTTATACCATGCCTTGAAACAGAGCACAGACCACAGTGCAGGCACGTAAGCAGCTCCCAGTGAAAGCAGACAGAAGTGCAAGCCCAAGTACTAACGCAGCGCACCAGAGATGAACCCGAGACGCTCTAGGGAGGCGGGCATGTAATTGTGTAACACGCACTTTGTAAAAAAGCAAAACAAAAAAGCATCACAGCACAGTTTCAGTCACATACATCTGAGTAGGAAGCTTTTTATTATCTGTTAAAGTTCTCAGAACTTATTAATTGATGCTAATTGATATTAATTGTTGATATTGTCCTTCTACCCTTTCCAGGAGAGGGTGTGATAGCCAACACAACTCCACCTGGGCACAGCCGCTGCAGAGAAGCAGGCTGATGGACAGCATCACCTCCACTGACCAACAAACATATCAGAGGCTGATTCACGAAGCCGTACCAGCACCCAAGAGGTTTTGCTCCGAGAAGTCACCAGCCAGTTTGCTCCCACCAAGCCAAGCACTCTGCTAACCCAGCTCTCCAGGGGTACATTTAAAAACACCCCTGAATGGGAAAGTGCATTTTTCCATCGGCTTGAAATTACACTCTGAAATTTCGGCAAATGGAAATTTATTTCCACGACATTGTAGTCAGTGGTTTTATGGTGACTGGTATGTGTGTCGACACCACGTTACCAAATAATGGAGACTAACTAATAATGGAGTGGGCACTGAAATATTCAACTCAGGCTTGTAGTTGGTACCAGCAAGCACCAGCTTCTTTGCCATCCAGACGACTCCGCCGAAATTGCCAGCATTAGTTTCTCCATGAAAGAGGGTCTGAATTGCTAGAGGACTGCACAACTGCATTTGCGAAGAGACAACAGGAGTTACACAGAGCATGAAATGCATGTTTACAAGTTTATTAGGCCAAAAAAAAAAGTGCAAGAGAAGACCTCTTGCTTAAACTTTAAAACATATGTGGGGCCATGTGAAAAATATTCTAGACTCCAAACCTCTCTTCTCACCCAGCTGCACACAGAAAAAGAGGTAAAGGAAAAAAAAAAAAAGGAAAGAATAGATAAAGCATGACAACACATAATCAGATATGCTATTGATTTATGCTGAAGCTCTAGAGTATAAAACATCCGTGTTCTGCACAGCTTTACCACATGCAGGCACTGGGGAACGCACAGAACAGTTTTCAGGCTAAAATCATGCAGTTTGCTGCACGTTTGAGCCACTTCACGCTCTGCGTTGCCTCCTCTCAACCTGAACCTCCTACCGGGTCTAGAGATGTAGAGCAAGGGTGGTTTAAATCCACCGAGACTGTTGCACATGTACTTCCAGATGCAGTCAAATCAAGCATCTGGGCAGCTTCACCGCACCAGTGTGGCATGGTGTTTACATAGCACATTATAAATTACAAAACTGGCAAGCTCTACGCCACGCCTGTTCAGGAGAAAGTCTGCAAAGGGCACAGCATCCTCCTCCTCCTTTGGAAAGGATGCAGCAGTTGAGAGCTGCCTAGTCAGGGCCCTACAGTTATGTCAGCCCCCCATCTTCTGGCTAACCAAGAAGCACAAGCCAGATGAGCAGCTGCAGAAGAATATGGTCAGGGGGTAAGCTAGGTTGAACTCGGCTGCCCAGCCAATATACCTGCCTATATGCTAGAACCTTTGGAATTTTTGTCTTCAATTCCTGCCAATGAAGTAGGAGAGCTGCCTGCTTGAAGAAGAGGCAGCCAGGTTAAGCTGCAGATTTTCTCCGTTGTTTGCCTCTTGGACTATTACTTTTCCCCTGATAATGTTTTACTCAGATTTTCTTTAAATAAATTGACTCAGCACTGCTAAGCAAAAAGCTGCTGAAGCTAACCAAGGGCTTGTACCTATCACAGTGATCTTGTGATCCTTGACTACAGCCCTCAATACCAAGAGGACAAAGCTATAAGCTGCCACTTTCTGATCACCAAGTCAAGCAAGCAAAGGTATATGTTGAATAGTAAGTGAGGCAGGAAGAACTGAAATTACTTTTGAGTAGATCACTATCTGGGTATCCAAACTGACAACGAGGACAGTACCATCACTTCAAGTAGGAATCAAACAAAAAGACACACTCGGGAGCCCAAATAAATTTACTGAATCCCAACTGATGCAGAAGCAGTATGGTCAGGGATCCTTTCAACAGGACAAAGCAGGCAGAACCATTCAATGAATGAAAATCTCTGATCCTAAAGAAACCATGGCCTCCAGGTAAACATCACATAAAGCTGAGGTGCCGTGCTCTGCATAATCATGGTATACACGCAACAGGGAGTCTTGAGAAATAACTTCTCGCACCAGAATAGATCTTGCCATACAGAACTGTAACCTATTTCTCCTGGACAGTTTTGCAGGTGGCTGTTCTAACTGCAGTAGACAGGCATAGTCACGCTGAAAACAATTTCGGTTTTCCTACTAAAATAAGGAGTATGGTCTACTGAAGAAGAGACAGGAGAGGAAAATGGGGGTTCGAAGGGTTACACAAGTTTGAAGTTGTCCATAGGTAAGTCATGACTGCAACTTTTTAAAAGCAGAAAACTCTTGAGTCTCGTATATGTATATATAGGTATTTTTAAATGAGATGTGACCCAAGTCACCTTCTGAATATTTGAGGGTAGATTTCAGGAGCCTCCTTGGCTTCTGATACCCACTTCTACTTTCACAACTGAAATGGCTCTTCCAAGCTACATGGTAAACTGAGAAAAAAAGTTAATTCCCCACCTGGAGGGATGACAGAATCCATAGTATGCTAGCAGCATTTAAATCCCATTCCTGTTAAGCACCAAAACCATTTCTATAGGGAAATTGTAATCTTAAGGGTTATCTTTAATCATATACAGTATATGTGCAGAGCCCTACCTTTCGGGCAGAAAAATACCCCTCCAGCATTAGTTTTGAATAGATTACATCAGTTGGAAGTGTCCTGGTCAGATCACCAAAACCATAGTCTCTTACAGGCCCTTCCCAGGAAGATCCCCATCCTGTAACCGCCTGTTTGTTCCCATGTATTAAAGGGATGACGTAGACAGAGATGTCGTCTCCAGAGCCCAGCCTGTCGTTGGATATTCGCCAGCCCCGGTCCTTCAGCACGCCCCTGGCTCGCATCACCAGGTCCTGTGCCGCCAGCGTGTACCTGTGGAAAAGGCAGAATATAGCCAGGGAGTGCTCGTCGTTGTGAGGAAAAGTGGAGTTTCACAGCCTGCCAGTTTTACTGTCCTGAGCTACCGGGACAACCTTCCCAGTGTTTTAGAAGCAGGCAGGAGAAATGCAAACCACAGCATGCCCACAAAGGAACCCCTTCCAGTTCAGGGATGGCTCCTGCATCAGAACGCAAAGGTATCTGATAGGCACCAATTGATCAGTAAGTCACTGGTCATTTGGGGTGCCCGGCTTCATCAGTTTTCAGAAAAATATTAACACACTTGCCTCAACAAATTGGCTTTCTAGGAGTAGTCTGAAAAATTGAGGACACCAAATAACACTACTTGCCGCTGCAAACTACACTCCTGTTCACAGACACACCTGCAGGTAAACACGGCTCAACTATTCAGAGACAAACTGTAACAAAGAAAGTCATCTGAAAGCAAGGAACAGAGCACTAAAAATAAAATCCAAATTACACTCTAAAACAAGTAGACTAACTTGTCTGTTTTCCTTGACCGTAAGAATGATTTTTAAATCTCCTTTATTCTGAAACTGGAGAAGGAAACTTACAGTTAATACAGCCAGATTAATAGAGTTCCACAGTCCTCTCACATTTATGAGTTCAACGAGAACTGTGTGAATGCAAGTTGCCAAGTGCTTAATACCAGGTGAAATACCAAGTTTCATGTTGCTTCAAAACTCCCAGCCTGTGCTGGGCTCTGTGGCATTGGATTTATGGGAGTTATTTTCTGTCCTGAAAAAATAACAGACGCTGCTTGGGGGCAGAAGGGTGCCAGAGTCCAAAGGGTGATGCATGACAGCGCTCCGTCATGCTCCGACACGTTCTCCCTTATCGTTTTACCCGCTGCTACTAGGTCAATGCATCTGTGTACTCATTTAGAAGCTTCCTCTGCAAGAAGTCTCATTACGGGTAAGTAGCTACTGGTCACGCGTTTTTCTTCATCAGTCCAACACCTGGCCGAGATGTTTTGAATTTGGTTGGGTGGAGGCAAGCTTTTCTACGATTTCATAAATAAAATTAACCAAACAGTTAAAAGACTGACAAGAAAAAAAGAGTTCTATATTGTGTCTGCCCGTGCTTTATTTGAAGCATTAAGTATCAACCTCCAAGGAGATGCAGGGCTCCACGAAGCCAACCATGCAGGCCACCAGAAGCAAAGCACACCTCCATAGTTTCCAGAATGCAGGAAGAACAAGAAGGGTCTGCATTTCAAGACTCCCTTTTCCAGGGAGGAACCTTGGCCAGAAATGATCTGCCCAGATCTCATCTGAGGAATGGGAAAGAACAGTATCTCCATTGATCAGAAGTGGGGGAGTGGGGGGAGTTTATTGAGTATCCAGGACTGTTCTCTAACCCCAGAAATTTTCACTGAAAATTGAATTATTGAATGGTAATTTCTATCAGTAGAGGCTTTATTCAGTCTCTGGGGATAAAAGAAGGAAAAAAAAAACCCCAATTACGTTCGATTTCTACACTTTTGGTGCTGTAAACTCAAATGACTCCTTTGAACTGGGAACAGATTTATTTGCGCTACTGGAAAAGATTTCTTCAATGCAAATAAACCAAATACCCAAAAGGTTTGATGTTAAATCCAAGCAATGTTGTATAGAAGCAATGCACCCCTCCTGCTCTGAATGGTACTGAGTGGTAAAATTTCCAGCCAACATTAGTTTTGACAAAAGATTTACTTTTAGCAGTAAGAAAAGGGCCCAAGGCATCAACTCTATCGCACAGGCTTGCGCACACTGTCCGTAGGTTCCGAGAGAAGTCCGTACCAATGACCTCGAGCTGTAATGGCAGGCTGTAACGACCAGCACTGCCCGTACTGTCCTAATGCAACAGGAAATTCTATTTTCTAAGGGGAAAAAACCCAAACATACATACTTACGCTCCCCAGCTCCCAAATCCTCAAATCAGATGCAGGGCTAAGGAACAAAAGGACTCCACGTGGCAAGCGAGAAACTGGAATATTTATTCACAGCATGTCTGATGCTGAGTGAATTTTGGCTAGAACATCTTTTCCAAGGATCTCTCAGCTATTGTCAGAATTTAAGAGAAGAAAACACCCATCATTCTGCAAGAAAACTTTGCCTTCCTCCTTTTTCTAATCAACAAGAGCTCCCCACATCTAAAGAGTACAAGGGAATGAGCGTTGCTCTTGATTGTGTAAAGCTTTTGCTGCTTAATGTTTGGAGAGGGCAAAGATTAAAAAAAAAGGAATTTTAATAAACCAGAAATTCTCTTACAGACAGACTGTGAAATACATAAGGAAACCGGCACATTGAAGGAAAGGAAAAGGAACGGGTGAAGGCAGCAGCGAGGTAACGTATTCCTCTCCTTGCGTAGAGCTGAATTGGAGCGATGCTGTTCAACTTGGCACTAGAGGAGATAGGGTGAGTCTCTTGTACCTGGAGATGAATAGCAGCAGCAGTCCATTACTGAACGCTTTATTCTCCAGCGCTGTGAACTTGGGATTCAGCTGTCGAGACAGCATTAGAGAACTGCTGAAGTAGTTTTAAAGTATCCACTTCCTCCTAATGAACAGCCTCGCTGGAATGCAACTTTTGTGTTTTAAGAATAAATATATATATATTCCTTTTTTCTGCTGAAGCTTTCAGTATTGATCAGTGAAAGTACTGCAGGAGAGATGGTGACAGTGGGGGGAACGTGTTGCTGTCTGAGCAGCTTCTTATCTTCTCGCACCCAGCAGAGGTGGAGCAACTCCCCAGAATCCTCATAAATCTCTAGCCAGTGTGAGAGACAGAGTGAGAGGGAATGAGAAAGGACAGGAGGGAGGATGAGAAATAAAAGATTCCCAAGGTCTGTGGGTAAACCTGCACAAGTGCAGCTGAAGGAAGCAGGCAAGGGTCATGCTTCTCTATCTTCATGCCTTTCCGGAGAGCTGATGTCTAGAAAGCAGCAGTGTGTCGCTGCCACCTGTTCTTCACTCAGGGTCCCCTTCATGCTCCTGTCTGCCACAATACCTGTAAGGAATGAGCTGGCTAAGAAATCCAGCTCCACCCCAGCTTCTTCAGTCCATCACAGCCCTCATGGAGGAACAGGTCCCTAATCGAGTCTGTGCCCATCACCCGCTGCCCAAATCCTCCGAGGCTGTGTCTGCATGTCCGGGTGAAGACAGACCCCGAGGACTTTGCTCTCCCTGCACTTGGAGATGCCCAGGCACACGCTACGTTTGACAGGATTCAAAGATGTTTTTCCACGGGTAACAAACACTCCCAGCTCTGACAGTAAATATCAGCAGGAGAGAGTCCCAGGAGCGTTGCCCAGGGCTGTAAGCTCTTACCCATCAGGCTATGAAATGACTTCTAATTCAAATGGGAGGGATAGTGTTCCCTCAAAGAGCTAATTACCTAACAGATAAGTACTCTGCAGCTCTGAAACCTTCCTCCCTAGC